CTACGGCTGCGGCCAGCACCCGGAATTCACAACTAACGAAAGTGTTCCCCCAAATTCATTGAATCAATTCTGGAATTCAGAATCGACTTCAAGATGGTATTATATTCGTAAAAAGCGATGCTAAGTTTCAATATCGGTCTACTAAACGATCCCTTCTCCTTACATCGCGCTGAGCATGTTCACTGCAGCCTTGCAAGGCCCTGAGGGGGACATTCGACATTCCATCTGTGATGATTACTCACCCGATCATGACAATACCAATTCCGCACGCTACAGTCCGGTACATCTGATGTATGAATCGAAACTAACTGACCACCATCATCAAAATTCATCTCTTTACATGATAACTGATTCTTCCCAAAGTGCCTTATCACACAAACAACAGATGATTACATCAAACGTATCATCCTTATGATAACCGATTCACGCACATTCCGTTCTCTAAATTGCAACCAACTACGTCACACTCCGAAACTCCCATCCATCACAGTATCGCATCGTCTCGAATTTGTTGGAAGTCTCCTCGAGATTGTCGCGCGAATTGCGCTTTTCATGCAAGTTGCAGGGAAACTATCCTGCAATTCCGCTAGCCATTCTACTTCTGGGGCGCTAAGATTATATATTCGGGTATCTTGAGGTCGGTATTGCAAGATACGGATTAGGTCTAGTTTCGGCACCTGACTATAGCATGTACTCGGAAATAGCTTCACACGAGCTTAAAAACGATCCGCGAGGAAGTTACCAACTTTCCATCACTTCTCATATTAGCTCATTTACACCGTTTATAATCATAGTGCCAAGAACGCTATGTGGGGTATATATAGTATTAGAATCTGATGAAATGCTTTATTTATAGTCACCAATGAATAGTATCATCAATCGTTATGAATATGCACTATTGTAGAATGGAGTTTCACAACAACCCGTTTTACGTGAAGTGGCGTAAAACTCGGTGAAAAACGCGATATTCGCGGTGATATGCAGTAGTCGTGAAATATATTTTTCACAAGTATTTTTCATATCATTAGGGTCACAACCCGTTTTACGTGAAATGTCGTAACACTTTAGGAGAAAAATGCGATTTTTTTCCCGCAAAGTGAAATGTGAGATGTTTTATCACTAGTGTTTTTTCATATCACTAGAGTGAAACTCCAATATTTATAATTACTATTTATCACCAACGTATAGTAGTTTATCGATAAAATACCTCCTGGAATGAAATTACTATAAATTTTTAATTCGAATTTTGAATTACCACAATTTTCCCCCCAAGTTCGTCTGTTTTATCCCCTCATCTTTCCATGGTTAACTTCCCCACCGCCGCAGCTTCAGCATTCAAAAAGTTTGTCGATCAAACCGGTTCTCCTTACCATTCAGTTCTTCAATGCGAAAAGCTCCTCAAAAACGCCGGTTTTAAGCGCCTTAGCGAGCGGGACAATTGGCATCTCTCACGAGGCGGCAAATACTACACCATTCGTGACGGTTGCGAAGTCTTCTCCTTCGTTATTGGCAAAGACTTCGACCCTTCCACTTCAAGTATGGTCATTATTGGTACCCACACAGATTCTCCTTGTTTGCGTTTGCGTCCGAATTCGGCGAGAGAATCAGAGGGTATGCTGCAACTCGGTGTCACCCCTTATGGTGGCGGCTTGTGGCACACTTGGTTTGATCGTGGTCTCGGGCTAGCTGGCAAAGTAGTGTATTCTCATGATGGTAAAATACATGAGAAATTGGTGCGAGTGGACCGTCCGGTTGCCATTCTGCCCAATTTGTGTCGTCATCTGCAGAGTAACGAGGAGAGGGCAGCGTTCAAGGTAGGTCTCTCGAACGACCCGGGTTCAATTCCTGCCAGTGTTAAAATATTTGATCGCTTTTCTCACTAATTATAGAAAATTTTGGTAGAAATGTACAGAAACCATTAAAAAATTCCACAGAATTTCCTCCCAGAATTTTCATACTGTCGCGACAACACATGTAGTTAATCATGTGCATATTTTCCCACATGGTGAAATTTTTCTTTCTTCAGTTCAATCCTGAAGAGCACCTCATCCCCGTATTTTGTTCTAAGAAGCATGCGACCACCGAAGAGCGCATTCGCGGCAATCATAAAGTTTTTCTGCAACTTCTCGCCGACGAAGCCGGGTAATATATAATCGTCATAATATTTTACCTTTTTTCGGGTAATAATTTTTCGCCCGATTTTTTAGCAAACATAATTTTAAAGAAATTTTCTCGAAAGTATTCTGATTTAATTTCTGTTGAATT